CAGACACCTTGGGTAAACCCACACTTAGCACTGTATTGAATTTTATGGCGGCTGATGATGTGTCTATTTTGGACTATCTTGAAAGGTCCTTTGATGAATTTCAGGTCCTTTACAACACTGACTGCAGCACTGATAGGCTATGGCATTTCTTTTCAATTGTTGTAGGGAAGTGCATAGACAGCTATGTACCTAGGATTAGAAAACGCATTTGTAAAACCAATCCCTGGATTACCAGAGAAATCATTCACACAAAAAGAAAACTAAAACGGAAATGGAAATCTTGTGCAAAAAATTGTACCCCTGAAGGAACAGCTTGCATTTCTTCAATGAGACAAGAACTGAAACGTCTGATCAAGCAGTCCAAGGATCGGTTTTTCAATGTGACATTGACGAAATACTTGAAGGAAGCCCCCTCAAGGTTTTGGCGCTTTGTAACTCCCCCAGCAAGCTCTCCGAGGCCACCTGAAATTACTCAACAACGTGTTGATGATTTCAATTCTTTTTTTGCTTCTGTGTTTACTCATGATAATGACATTTTGCCCGAGTTTTCTACGTCACCATTGCAGCGGCCGATCGATGATGTGGTAATTAGCGAAGAGGGTGTCCTAAATCTTTTACTTAATATAAATACAAGAAAAACCCCCGGCCCTGATGGTATACCAAACGAATTTCTGTACAGATACGCTGAATGGGCGGCTCGCTTCCTTACAAAAATATTTCAGTCGTCCCTGCGCAGTGGCTCTTTCCCACTAGCGTGGAAGCAGGCTAAAATTACCCCTATTCACAAAAGTGGCTCCTCTCGGGACGAGCGCAACTACCGTCCTATTTCGCTTATCAGTACATGTTCAAAGATACTCGAGCACATTATTAACAAACACTTGATGTCCTATCTTGATACGCACAATCTATTATCTTTGAAGCAGCATGGCTTCCGCCGAGGCTTATCTACAACAACTCAGTTAATCGAATTTGTTCATGATCTTTCAAAAACAATCAATTTGCGTGGTCAAACTGATGTGGTATATTTGGATTTCGCAAAGGCATTTGATAAAGTATCGCACTCAAAGCTACTGTTTAAAATTGACAAAACGTTTCAAAATAATCACTTGACAAAATGGTTTTCATCCTATCTCAGCTGCCGTCAGCAGTTTGTTCAAATAAAAAATAAACAGTCTAGAGCAGTTGCAGTGAATTCTGGAGTTCCCCAGGGGAGCGTGCTGGGTCCCCTTTTATTTTTGTTATATATAAATGACCTACCAAACCGCGTTACGGTCCCGATAAGGTTGTTTGCCGATGACTGTGTTGTTTATAGCAGAATCGAGACTGAACATGACCAAGTTAATCTAAACAACAATCTTCAAAGAATAAAGGATTGGTGCGAAGAATGGCAAATGAGTTTGAACACAGAAAAAACAGTCTTTATGACTATAACTAGAAAGAAAGCACCTCTAGATTACAACTACCAGATTGGCAATGCTTTCCTCAAGCGTGTACAAAACTATAAATATCTTGGGTTATGGTTCACGCCCGACCTCCGGTGGAACACTCATATTGATAATGTATGCTCCAGGGCTACCAAGGCATTGTATAGCCTTAGACGTAACCTTTATACCGCCCCATCTGATATAAAGTGTCTTGCTTACAAAACTCTTGTCAGACCTATTATCGAATATTCTAAAATTGTCTGGGACCCTTACACAAAGACAAACTGCAATAAAATAACAAAAATACAGCGACTTGGTGCGAGATTTATTTTTAATAAATATCGCCGACATCATTCTCCTACTGAACTCTGTAAAAAAGCTGGACTGGGTAGTCCTGAACTTAGGACGAGGATTGAGCGTCTGAAATTCCTCTTCCAGTTAATTCATAATCATTTTAAACTAAACTATTCAGATTACTTCCAGGTCAACACACAAGAACATTCCAGACATCGCCATAATATGTATATACCACCCCTAGTCCCACGTAACGATTGCTTTAAGTTCAGTTACTTTCCACGTGCTATTGAAGATTGGAATATGCTGCCAGAGTCTATAATTGGTTGTTCCTCGCTTACATCATTTGAACAGAATCTAAAACGTTTATTTTCCGAATAACAGTGACATATGTTTTTTTTTGGCGTGTGTGTGTAATTTTTGTTGGTTGCATGATTCTGCAGTAGTTGTCTTTCAAATCTTCAGCGCGGTGCAAAAGTGCCGCCTCAAATGCGTCATGTGCTGTTCTGCGCGTATGTATTGCATCGCATGTGTGTTCCATTTATGTATGTTATGTATAACTTCGAGTTGCTGGTCACAATAATACCGAGAAATTATCTCGAGACCTGTACGGTACTTCTTTTTTGCAAATAATTGTTTGTACTTCCACCCTGTAACGGCCCACTTCTGGGCTAACAGTATAAATAAATGAAATGAAATGAAGAGGAAACTTGGGATAGGCAAAATTCGGATGTATGCACTAAGGGACAAAGAAGGCAAAATAACTACCAATATGGATAGGATAGTTAAAATAGCCGAGGAGTTCTACAGAAATCTGTACAGTAGCCGGGACAACCACGACTTTAATACTATAATAACTAGCAGTAACCCAGATGACACGCCCCGCCGCGGTGGTCTAGTGGCTAAGGTACTCGGCTGCTGACCCGCAGGTCGCGGGTTCAAATCCCGGCTGCGGCGGCTGCATTTCCGATGGAGGCGGAAATGTTGTAGGCCCGTGTGCTCAGATTTGGGCGCACGTTAAAGAACCCCAGGTGGTCTAAATTTCCGGAGCCCTCCACTACGGCGTCTCTCATAATTATATAGTGGCTTTGGGACGTTAAACCCCACATATCAATGAACCCAGATGACACCCCACCAGTAATGATAGAAGTCATGATGATTTGATTGATTTGTGGGGTTTAACGTCCCAAAACCACCATATGATTATGACAGACGCCGTAGTGGAGGGCTCCGGAAATTTTGACCACCTGGAGTTCTTTAACGTGCACCCAAATCTGAGCACACGGGCCTACAACATTTCCGCCTCCATCGTGATAGAAGAAGTCAGAAAAGCTTTGGAGAGCATGCAAAGAGGCAAAGCTGCTGGTGAGGATCAAGTAACATCAGATCTGCTGAAAGATGGAGAACATATCGTGTTAGAAAAACTAGCCACCCTGTTTACCAGTTGTCTCCTGACGGGAAGAGTACCAGAGTCTTGGATGAACGCTAACATCATCCTAATACATAAGAAAAGAGATGACAAGGACTTGAAGAATTACAGGCCGATTAGCTTGCTCTCTGTAGTATACAAGCTATTTACAAAGGTGATTGCTAACAGAGTAAAGAAAACTAGAATTCAATCAACCAAAGGAACAAGCAGGATTTCGAACAGGCTACTCAACAATCGACCACATTCATACTATCAATCAGGTAATAGAGAAATGCTCAGAATATAACCAACCAATATACATAGCCTTCACAGATTACGAGAAGGCGTTTGATTCAGTAGAAATATCAGCCGTCATGCAGACACTGCGGAATCAGGGCGTTGATGAAGTTTATATAAACATCCTGGAAGAAATCTACAGGGGATCAACTGCTACCATAGTGCTTCATAAAGAAAGCAACAGAATACCAATCAAGAAGGGTGTAAGGCAGGGGGCACAATCTCCCCAATGCTATTTACCGCGTGCTTACAGGAGGTTTTCAGATGCCTAGAATGGGAAGAGTTAGGGATAAGATTTAATGGAGCGTACCTTAGTAACCTGCGCTTCGCCGATGACATTGCATTGCTGAGTAACTCAGGGGACGAATTGCAACTCATGATTACGGGGTTAGAGAAGGAGAGCAGAAAGGTGGGTCTTAAAATGAATATGCAGAAAACGAAAGTAATGTACAACAACCTCGGAAAAGAGCAGCACTTCGAGAAAGGTAATAGTGCACTTCAAGTTGTAAAAGACTATGTCTACTTAGGGCAAGTAATAACCGCGGAGCCGAACCACAAGATTGAAGTAACTAGAAGAATAAGAATGGAGTGGAGCACATTTGGCAAGCACTCTCAAATTATGACAGGTAGATTGCCACTATCCCTCAAGAGGAAGGTACATAACAGCTGTATCTTGCCGGTACTTAGCTATGGAGCAGAAACCTGGAGACTTACAAAGAGGGTTCAGCTTAAATATAGGACGACGCAACGAGCAATGGAAAGAAAAATGGTGGGTGTAACCTTAAGAGACAAGAAGAGAGCAGAGTGGATTAGGGAACAAATGGGGGTTAAGGGTATCATAGCTGAAATCAAGAAGAAGAAATGGACATGGGCCGGGCATGTAGCGCGTAGACAGGATAACCACTGGTCATTAAGGGTAACTAACTGGATTCCCAGAGAAGGCAAGCGGGTTAGGGGGAGACAGAAGGTTAGGTGGGCAGATGAGATTAAGAAGTTTGCGGGTATAAATTGGCATCAGCAAGCACAGGACCGGGTTAACTGGCAGAACATGGGAGAGGCCTTTGTCCTGCAGTGGACGTAGTCAGGCTGATGATGATGATAATATATATATATTGCCAGTGCATAGAATATATATATATATATATACATACAGATTATACTATATTCAATGAAGGTTCTGTCGACCTATATAATGTGTGTACAAGCGTATCTCTTTCCTTGAGATGTCTGACCAAACAAATGCAGTGGCCATTCGCAGAAATCTAGTAGATGTCCAAAATAGTCATGAAAAATTCGCCTCATGAAAAAAGGATAAATGAACAAAGAGTGGCGACACGGTCTAGCCATTGTCCATGCTAGTTCATGCGGCCTCCCTTCATCCATATATCTCCTCGATAATGAATCACCATATATCAAAATGTTTATTTGAAAAAGAAACAAGGAAAGAAAGATACACCAATTTGACCAAATGATCACTAATGACTACGACATCCGTGGCTACTTGCATAGAGACATGAATGACTGAACGGTAAATTTTCCCATTTTACTGTGAGGTGTTCTCAGTCTACACTACTCACGTGAGAAGGTCCTTCTCTACAATGTCCAGCATGCCCTTCAGCTGGCAGAAGATGAGGGCTCTGTGGGCGTGTACGACACTTTCCTGCTCAGGCTGAGTAGCCGTGCCAATGCCACAATCCAGCAGCAGCTGCCTGCAATAAAAACAGCTGCTCAGTGAATGAAGCCATGAATCCTCAAGCATGCTTTCTCCGTATATGCTGATGTTGTACTTCGGACTGTTCCAAATGGAGCCAATTATAATAGACGACAAATTTAATTTTGAGCTTTTTTCAATGTAAATTGAAATAGAGAAGCATTGTTCGGATTTCATTGCTATCGATGGCTCAACTATGTAGTGAGCACAACAGTTACGTAATTATTTTAACAAGAAAACAAATAGCTGATGTTGTTTTTAAAAATTAGAGGTGCACAAATATCATACACTCAAACTTCCTTATAATGTAACGGGATATAACGAAGTAAATGAAATTCTCCTTGAAAGCTCCATTGAGAACCATGCATTTTACACGTTTAACGAACACGTGCTAACGTTTTACTTCGTTAGCACGTTTTACACGTGCTAACGAAGTAAAATTGACTGGTAAGTGAACATAACAAACTAAATTAGTCTATCAAATAGTCTATACAAAAAACCGACTATTGTGTGTTAAGTGTGTAGTTTTCTACGAAGTTTGACGCTCGTTTGGTGCGGCTCTTTCATAACCCTTGCGCCGACCTTACAGCCACGCCACACGTGGCTGAGAAAGCCGTTCTCCTCACACAGCCAGCGGGAAGGATTGAGGAAGCGCTCAGCGGGTCACATGACCGAGAAGCAGTGCCACGGCGCTAAGCGATTTCCCTCTCCCTTATAAAAACACATGATGGGGAAGCTTCAGAAGACTAACATTTATTCACAAATTAGAGGACATCCGTCATTATTTGAAGTAATAGGTGATGCGCGTTGTGGGGTCTCGATATAGCGAGCGCCAAGCTCTTAGAGTGAACGGACACAGCAGACACGGTCGGTACAAACCCAATACAACACACCTTTATTTAACTACTAATTTAGAACGACGTCATTGTCAGCCTAATCAATACATCAATCGTTATCAACAAGCTAGGACATCCTTACACAATATTACTGTACACTCCAAAACAAACACAATAGCACGACAAATACACAATAACATGACAAACACAATAACACACCCAAGGCAGCGTCGCCAACGCTTGACTTACCTTGAGGGCCCCCGACGCGCAGCCCGCGGTGCCACGCACCGGGGACCCACACTAGAGACAACCGTTCGTGGCAACAGCCACGCACAGAAGAGACTCGCTCAACTCTCGCCCACCACCAAGGCTTGCCTTCCGCCAGGGGTCACCACCGGCGCTACACTATGATGATGATAGTAGCGGTGATTACCGCTCGCGAACCCAATGCCACCCACCGCCCAGTAGTTGTAACCCGGAATGCGGCTTGTGGGCAAGACACAAGCGCAACACAGCGCAAACAACTTTGCAGGAGATGTCGACACCCCCACATTGTTTGCACACGTTTGCCTTGCGGCAAATGAATCAACTTCGCACGTAGTTTGCAAATCATAGTAGCGCGCGGCTACTATACTTTGCAAAGTATGTACAACGGCAACGACTGCGTCTCCGCTGCTACCCTCTGCATCGAGAAAAGAGGACACTCCACGACAGCTTTCTTTTTTTTTCCCTCTCTCTGCGCACGGCCTTGAAAGGAGAAGGGTCTCTACGTGCGGAGACGGAAAAAGGAGAAGCGTGGCACAGGCGCATCGCAGATCGGCATTTGAGAGAGGGCGAACAATCCGCCAGTCTTTTCTTACCTTTTTTTTTTTTCTTCTTCGCACGCAGCGTTGATAGGTGCTGCCGAGGGATTGGGCATGATGCTGAGAGCATTTTCAGAGTGCAGTATGTATGAATTAACCGTCGCAAGTGCTTGCGCAGTCGAATTACAGGGCGTTTTCACCCATTGGAATAGACATAGCTTTGAAGGGACCACAGCGTAAGTTTGAATTAACCAGCGGTTCAAAAGCGTGTTCGAATTAGTGAGGTTCGACTGTGTTTATTTTCTGTCGCACTCGTGGTTGGGGTACATCGAGCTGCGAGGTGGTTTCCTTCTTTGCATGCTTATAAGTGTGCACCCATCTGAGCATACATTGCCACAAACTGTTATAATCAATATAACAAAATAATAGATATAACTATATAATTGAGGCTCCCCTTCAACTTCGTTATAATGAGGTTTGAGTGTAGTGCACTGCATTTAACAACTACATTGTGCCAACTGACAGCATGATATGCCTTACACTGCTCGCGAAAAGGAGTGACCGTGTCAATGCTCCGTCTTACTGACAACTGTAGTCGTCCGGCTGCTATAAATATGGCTCATTTCTGTAGTTGTTCAAAAATATGGCTACCGCAACAGAACCGTAGCAATAGTGACGTCATGTGCATGCAGTGTGAAATGAAGATGAAAATGTGTGCACAGTGCACAAAAGTGGCGGAACCTATATTTTGGCAAGGTACTTCATCTTCCACTATAGCTATAAGTAATGCAGAAATTTCGATGTTGCAACATTTGGATGTTTCAGTGTTTCGATTTCTCGGCATTTAAACTTTCGGTTTCTTATATAGTCGGCTTTTTGAATTCTCGGTGTTCTAAATTTTGGCATTTCAATAGTTTGTCACTTTGATTTTCAGCATTTTGAATGCTACCCGTTCTGGATCTTTTGAATGACCCCTTCAGAATAAACATTCTCAGACACAGGGCAGTTACTGTATCAGTCCAAGAGTAAGCAATGCCCTTAAACATCACCACAAGCACAAAAAGAGTCGCTGTATTTTACGCATGACACCAAGCTGAAAGTTTCCTGAACTAATAAATTCCAAATTTTGTTGGGTTGACTGTGATCGCTGCAGCATGCGTGAAGAGCTTTGGTGATGTTTAGTAGCCGCCTCAGTGTGCACCCAGCAACATGCATGCCAGACACCTAAATACAGTTAAACCTTGTTATAAGGAAATTGGAGGGCCGCCGCTATTTGCTCGTTAGGGGGGCCTTTGCTAGGTAGGGGGGCCTTTGTCAGGCAGTTGCATCTGCCTTTAGCCCCTTCATCCCAGACCATGACTTTCTGAATAAACTTAAAAAAAAAAAAAACAATATTTCGTTATAGCCGTAGCGGGCATTTACCGCAAATATCATGCACTGTACTTACCCCCAAAAAATAGCAGGCAAAATAGCATCCTGCCGCACGGTGGTATGCAACAAAATAACCGCATTCCCAAATAAAAAGGAAAAAAGTCATGCACCTGTTTTAATGCACTTCAAAATACACAGCTTGCATTTCAGGCAGACTTAGCTGCAAAGGAGTCCGTAACTAAACGTTGATGCATCTTCCTGATGCAAACAATGGCTCGCTCAGCTGCGGCCGCAATGTTCAAGCCATCTTCGCCGCCCTCGTGAACGCCGAAGTAGCGGCGCAGTACGTCCACCGCTTCTAATGCCTCCGACGCCGTCGGCACGTTCGTCTCCTGTTCGTCGACAGAGTCATCATCACTGGTTTCGTTACGATTACTGACAGCGCGCACAATATTGTCATCCAGGGGCTGCTCCGTTACCACCACTTTCGAGTCCGCACTCACATAGTCGCAAAACGACTCGCTGTCGGGCACGACATCGGCGACACGAAGTGCCGTCCATGATGCAGCGACTTCGTCTGATGTGGCAAAACCGTCCGGCACAGTGAACTCGCCTGATGGCTCATCGCTGGCGTCTGGTGCGGCGGCAAATGAGGCGTGTCGAAAGCAGTTTGCGATCGTGGTCGCCGTCACACTCGTCCACGCCGCCTGAAGCATTTAGAGCGCAGCGTACAAGTCAACATCGGTGTCTCGCTTCATCCTCATGTTGAGCAGGAGCTTGTCTATCACACGCTTGCGATAACCTGCCTTCAGCGACATAATCAGGTCTTGGTCAAGCGGCTGTATTTTTGCTGTGCAATTGGCAGGAAGGAACAGCAGCTCAATGTTTCGAAGCACGGCAGCGGTATGGTGGGCGGTGCAGTTATCTAAAACAAGGCACACCTTGCGGTTCGCCTTTGCCAGCTTCTCGTCCCACTCGCAAAGCCATTTTGAAAAAATCTCCCTGGTCATCCAGGTTTTGCGATTGGCTACGTACTTGACTGGGAGCTGCCTCTTCCCCTTAAAGCAGCGAGGGGATGCACTTTTGCCAATTACGAAAATTGGCAGCTTTTCAGAGCCGCTCATGTTCGCACAAAGTAGCGCAGTGATCCGCAGCTTACTTTGTTTGCCGCCATGGCACGGCTCGCCTTTGAGGGCTAACGTCTTGTGCGGCAACATCTTGAAAAAGAGAGCGGTTTCGTCCGCGTTAAAAATATCCTCCGCACTGTATTTTTCTAGCAGCCGCACGATGTTTTCTTTCGCCCACTTGGTAGCCTCTGCTTTGTCGACAGATTGCGATTCGCTGCAGACCGCTCTGCTGACAATGTCGGGGCCCTCCTTGAAGCGTTGGAGCCAACCCGAACTTGCTACGAAGTTGTCATAGCCCATGATGCAGGCAAAGTCTCTCGCTTTTATTTGCAGCAAGGCGCCGCTCACCGGCAGATTCGCGGCTCGCGTGTCCAAGAACCATTTAAAAATGGCGTTTTCGACCGCTTCAAAGGCAGGTGCCCTCATCCTCTTAGTGCTTTCTTTCACGCCACGTGCAATAGCGTCGATGATGGACTTCTGCTTGCTCAAGATGGTTGACAATGTGCTCGTCGATACGCCAAAGTCTCTTGCCTCATTGCCTTTCTTGGTCCCCGATTCGACGGCTCTTATCATAGCCGCCTTCTGATCTAGCGTTATGTGCTTTCGCGTCCTGCCTGGCGCATTCATGTTGCTGGAATCAGGAGCGCAGCACGATAAAAGATAAGGCGGAAGCGGTCGATAAAGAGAAGAAACACGCACGCAAAAGCAAAGCGGCTCACGTCGGCGAGCGACAACACTTGTAGAGAAAGTAGGGAGTTTTAGTGCTGGGTACCCAAGCGGCTTGCGTACGCAGGACGTTGGGGCGGCGGTATTGCGCATGCGCGAAACCCCAAACACATGCGTCGCAAGATCGCTGGGGCG